TATCTCCCAGGGACATCTATATTGCTTTTCCCTTTCCTGTTAGTTGCATATATTAAACAATTACGCTTACCTCTTATTAATACTTGCAGATATTTGAATATATACAGTAAGAGATACAGACTCCAAAACCCAGTTCTCTGGGCTCTGAGAGCAAGGCTGCTGGGCTTCTACCATAAACCCAAGACGGGGTCCTCAGGCAGGTTCAGCTTGTCCGTCCCCATAGGGGTCCTGTCTCTTAAGTCATAACAGCTTGCATCAAGACCATACTTTTATGCTTTCTGGGCTGTCTTATTTTGATGCAGGTCTGAAAACTTTGCTGATTTCCCTGGGCCCATTCAATTTCCATGGTGGGACACCCCACTTCCCCTTTATGGGGTGTTGGGAACTGTGGCAACTGAAGCCTGAGTCACTAAATTATGACGAATGCCCAGGAGCAGGTGTTTTTTAGAGTCCATCAACTCCCAAATATTAGGAGCATAGCATTAACAGTTTTTCTCTGTTTCAGCAAAGAACATTGTTCTATAGTAAAATGTGAAAAGGTTATAGGGGAAACAAAAAGCACACTTCCCTGACATCACTACAAATACAAAGTCCAGAATCACCAGAGGTTTTGACTTATGTCTTTCCCCCCCTTTTTTTGCTGTTTGGGTCACACCCGGATTGGCACAGGGGTTAATCCTGGCGCTGCCCTCAGGAATTACTCCTGGCGGTGCTCAGGGGACCATATGGGATGCTGGGATTTGAACCTGGGTCAGCTGTGTGCAAGGCGAATGCCCTATCCACTGTGCTATCACTCCAGCCCCAGTTTTGACGTATAAGTAAGACTGACTTGGGGAATGTAACAATGAGAGGCAAAGCATAAAGGAAAGGTAAAATATACACTCAGGGGGTTGGGGTGCTGGTAAAAGCACTGTAACCTTCTCGGGGGGGAGGAAGAGGGGCAATTCACTGACGAAGCACTTAGGGTTAATATCCAATACCTGTTGTCGGCTGTGTGGGAATGCTTCCCTGCCATTTCCCGTGTGTGAACACTTCCCTGCCGTCTCCTGTGGAGAGCATTTCCTTACCATGCTCTCTCTGTGAATGCTTTTATGCCTTTTCCTGTGTGTGTGTGTGTGTGTGTGTGTGTGTGTGTGTGTGTGTGTGTGTGTGACTATTCCATCTTCTGTGAACACTTTCCTGCATATGTTTGCCTGAATGGACATAGAGAATGCATAACTTCCTGTTGCTCCCTTACTATTTTGTTATTCCCCTATTGCTTCCTGTATGTGCGTGTGTTGTATATGTGCTGTGGCATCATTTCTGCTGGTGGGTCACCTGGGGGCCAGGACCATCCTGCACGCTCTGGAGCAGATGTGCTCGCCTGGTGCCATGGCTGCTGGTCCCTGGGGGTCCTCAGAGGGGCTCAGCAGGGGCCAGTGGCTGGATCCTGCTCTGCAACTTCCCTGCTTTCCCACCAGACGCCTCTAGGGCAGGCCTCAAGGAGTTCTTGGTCCCATGTTCCCATGTTCCCACCCTCCCACCTCCACCGTTGGATCTTCTCTTTGACTTCAGTGTGCCTCCAACTCTTGGGATGTGGGGGAGACCTTTCTTATTGAGCTGAAGGATCATCTGTATCTGCAGGGGGTCAGGAACAGAAGACGATGGATGGGCTGAGGCTGTGGGCCCATACCCCAGAGCTGCTGCGGTCTGGGGGAGGCAGGGTGGTCTAGGGTAGAGCACCGAGAAGGGGAATTCTGTGGAGGCTCTGTGGACCAGGGCCACAAACCCCCAGATCCAGCCTGGGTCTGAGTCAGACACTGAGATTTCCCTTCATCTCTGTGGCCAAGTCAGGCTCCCCACAATTCTCTGGGTGATAACCAAAACCACCTAAACAAATCTAAACCTGATCATTGGATACTACAGTTCATGAATCTAGTAGCAATTTCTCTTGAACAAAGTTCCAGGGGCTGGAAACTGAAAGTAGGAGGACAGTCCACTGTCAACTGTCACCCCGGTGAGTCCTCATTTGGACCTAGAGGAAACTGATCTCTGGATAGGTAGTTCTGGTGCAGGAGCCCAGCCTCACTGCTGCTTTGTTACAGAGATACACAGTTTAGTAAGTCAGGTAGGTGCTCTCAACCACCAGATCTGATACCTAGAAGCTTCTAGAGCAGGTCCCATCTCCTCTCCTTTCGCTCAGGTCACACAGGTGCAATAGGTAGATGTTCCTCTCTCACTTGAAGCCATAAAAGATGGAAATGTCCTGAATGATTGCTCCACAGCCACACAGACAGGGCATCGACTGTGTCCAGTGTACAGGTCAGAGGGTGCATCTGGGCGTTACCCAGAGACAGGCATGGGTCAGCCATCCTGTGGTCAGAACATCGCACTCTTGACCAAGGTCACACAGGCCTGAGGTGGGAATGTTGAGCGGCAACAGAGGACAGAGCAGAGCAAGAAGCATCCAACCTAGGGGAGGATGAGCTGGAGGAAATGCCAATGCCCTTTGGAGAGGATAGGCAGAGGGGCGCCGGCCAGAACTCAGCTGGTACTTATGGCAGAGCAGACATGGACGGATGGCAGAGGCTGTGGCAGGGTAGCAGAGAGATGGTTGAATGAGGGCTCATGGTCGGATCATGAAAGGGTGTGGAAGGTACGTGTGCAGACTGTGGAAAGGTCAGAGCACTCCTCCACAGTGGGGAGCTGTGGTCTGGGCCTGGACATGGTTCTGCAAGAGCTGAGGGCTCAGTGAGGACAGTATCAGCCAGCTGACTTCACTCAGTGACTCCTGCGGGTGGAGGGTGGTGGCCTCTACTGGGGGAGGCAGTTTCCTGGGAAAGTCTGCATGTTCCTGGCACACTTGTTCCCATGTTCAGGCAGTCCACTCCTGCAGGTGGTGTTACAGGGAGGCACTCTCAGGACCACATGTTCTGGCTGGTGCACAGGACAAGCACAGGGGGCCTTGCTGGCTGTGTCCTGTGCTGCGTAGGGACCTGGGACAACATTCCTCACAGTTACACCCTCCCTGTGGCCCTTGTCATTGCTTGCCAGTGACTGTCACCACCCTGACTACTCTGATCTCCAACACTGGGTCCTGGGCTCAGTCCTCTACCACCTGTACCATACTTCCCTCAATCTTTACCAGAGAAAGTGCATGGTGGGGACTATGCCACAACCCAGAATGGGCTGAAAAGAGAGAGACACGGGAGCAGAACTCAGTCACGTAAAACTCAACAGCAGCTGAACTGACCATTGTAGTGGTGGCTAAGGTGAGACTGACACCTGAGCTCACAGTGTGGCTGACACCTGAGCTCACTGCATGACTGACAACTGAGCTCACCATGTGACTGACACCTGAGCTCACTGTGTGGCTAACACCTGAGCTCACCATGTGACTGACACCTGAGCTCACCATGTGACTGACACCTGAGCTCACTGTGTGGCTAACACCTGAGCTCACTGCATGACTGACACCTGAGCTCACTGTGCGACTGACACCTGAGCGCTCACTGTGTAGCTGACACCTGAACTCACTGTGTGGCTGACACCTGAGCTCATTGTGTGGCTGACACCTGAGCTCCCTGTCTGGCTGACACCTGAGCTCACTGTGCGACTGACACCTGAGCTCACTTTGCGGACATCTGAACTCACTGTGTAATTGATATCTGAGCTCACTGTGCAGCGTGTGGCTGACACCAAGGCTCACTGAGTGACTGACAGTGCTGCTGTTTTAATACACAAACACACTGTGCAGTTACACCTGAGATGACTGTGCAATTGTGTTCAAATCAGAGTTCACTGCGCAGTAGTGTACACACCTGAAGTGGTCTAATAGAAGCCGTCTAACATGATGCCTAGTGAATCCCCATTTCAAAGGCCCGGCAGGCTGAGACCGTCACTGCCAGCATGACAGTCATGCTTTTCTTGCTCACACAAAGAGCCGAGACCCAGGGACTCTAGAGACCCCACTGCTGCTTAGCTCTGCTGCTCTGTTCCTAGAATTGGCACGTGTCTCCTTCCCACTCATCTCCCAGAGAGAAGTCATCTATGAAGCAGCAAACTCCACGTAAACAGCCCTAAGACACACACAAAGACTCCCTGGGACCTGTGCCAGTGGCTCTCTCTTCGGAGGCCTCTGCAGTGTCGATCGGCCCAGTTGCTCTCTTCAGAAAAGTTAGTTTCTCTGACTAAACCATCTTGAGCTCTCCTGGTAACTTCCTGAACCACCCCATGACTTGATCCAGCAAGGCCTGGATTCCAGCAGACCCCCTCCTCCAGTAAACACCTGAGGCCTCCAAGCAGCCGTGTGACCCTGAGCCTTCTGTGTAACCATGTGACCCCTGAACTGTCGGTGTAGGTGCGTGACTCCTGAATCTTTTATGCAGCCTGTAACCCCTAAAGGCACAGTGTTCACATGTTTTATGATCTAGATACTTCTAACCTATGTGCTGTGTTTCTCACCAATAGAAAATCTGATTAAAAGAAAAACCTTGGGAAAATGTGAAACCTTTTCAGAAAGTTCCTGACACCTGTATGTGGATTCTAACCCGGGGGCCTGGTTGCAGGAGGACAAAAGCACAGAGCATAAGATGTGAGAAAGTGCAAGTGTGCAGCCCCACTCATGACAGCAGTGTTGACAGCCGTGGGGGGAGCGGGTGCACACCTGATGTTGGAAAGCGTGGGTGTGGGGCAGTGTGCCCTGGGCCAAATGGTGGCTCCAGAGAACACACTCAGAGATTCCTGCCCTGGAACATAACTGTGGCTCTTTCTATGACGAATGCAGGGTTGTCAGCCAGCAGTGAAGCTGTCAGCTGATTGTTTTGCTTTGTGCTTTTCCTTTTCCCCCCTGTCTGATTTTCCCCAAAGGTGAAATGTGTTGCTTGCGCAATAAAAAATAGTCAAGGAGATTCAAGACTGAGGCCCCAACCTCCTTTCTGGGAGACAGAGCTGGTTGCCATGGAGATGGGATGGTTGTCAGGGCCGCGATTGGCTGGCAGATGCTGAGCGGTGCCTGGGAACAAAGCGCGGTGGCCGGGAGCCCGCAGTGCGGAACCAGCGCCAACATGGATGGGGTCGACCTGTGGGCTAGTACCCTGGCCCAGCTGATGGCCATGAGAAAGCCGTTCGATTCCTGGGAGCTGCTCCCTGACGAGGACCTGGTTGCAGGGCAGGTGGAGGGCAACGGCCACCAGTACCGGCTGAGGGGGCTTTCAAGGTGCGGTAGGGACAGGGCTTCCTGTGGGGTCTGGTGGGGAGGGGCCGAGGTTGCCGACCTGCCCACCCAGGCACCCTTGAGTCCTGAGACCAGGGATGGGTGTGTTGGGACTCTGGGGGTGGGCGGAGGGATCCCAGCCTGCCTGCTCCTGCTCCCCAACAGGTGGGCGTGGGGGCGGGGTGTTTAGTCTTCTCCACTGAGCCCCTGGCGGGCAGTGGTGGTCACAGCCTGCCCCACTGGGTGCTTGTGCCCTGGGGGCGACGGGGGCGGGGGCCGTGGGAGCACTGAGGTGCTCTAGGGGCGTTGGGGTTGTGGGGCCGTGGGTCCGTGGGAAACATGGGGGTCGTGGGGGCTGGGGGGCACTGGGGTCTGTGGGGGCCATGGGGGGCATCGGGGTCTGTGGAGGCCGTGGATCTGTGGGACTGTGGGGCACGAGGGCCATGGAACCATGGGGTCCTTGGAGGCCTTGGCTGCCTCCCCCACATGGCTGGCATGGTCTGTTACTGCACATCTCCTGGTTTCCATGGCAGCGCTGACGCAAGTTGGTCACTGCTAGCCATTTACCGGGATGGGGGAGGGGTGGTCCTGAGGAGGTGGGACTGCCTGGGGGGCATAGGAGCCCAGGGAAGGGGCTGTCTCTGGCTGGCTCTCTGTGAGGCCTGTGGGCGCCAGGCCCTGTGAGGTGGCCGTGGGGGAAAGGCTTCTGACTGGTCACCCTGGCACAGTGGCTGCTGTCCTCCCACACGGACCCCACCTCGCCCTCCTGGCTTGCAGAGGGATTCCGAGGTGGAGTGTCTGGGCAGTCCAACTGCGCCTGAGCACTGCTGCCCTGTGCCCCCAGGGGAGTGCGATTGGCCTGCTGGCACCGACCCCGACTCCCAGCATTCACATCCAGGTTTCCTGAAGCAGCCCGAGCCAGTGAGGCCTCAGAGTGGTCCCACCAGGGGATGCGGGACCACTATGGCAGAGGTGGGAGGTCAGTCTCCGGGACTCACACCGTGCCAGGAGTGTTCCCAGGAGTGGGAAGGCCCTGGTCAGCACGTGCTCAGGACAAGCCCAGACCTGGGGGTCTTAAAGGGGACCCAGCCCCTGCCAGTCAACCCCAGGCAGGGCAGCCCCGACCAGCCAACCCCAGGCAGGGCAGCCCCGACCAGCCGGCAAAAGGGAACCCGCGGGGGCACCTGCACTCTCCCTTCTGCCTCCCGACTCAGGACGGCTGGTCCTGCTCTGTCCACACACCCCTCTGAGGCTCACTCCTGGCCTCTGCCCAGCACCCTGCCTGCTGATATGACTCTTATTTCCTGACTCAGGTTCCCCTGAAGATCCTGATGACTTTTCCTCAGGGCAATGAGGCCTGAGTCAGACTCATGCAAGCAGCCCCAAGCCTGGGTCTTATCAGGCAGGACCTACCCATGGGGGTTGGTGCCAAACCCACCCGGAGGTGTTCCAGCTCTGAATCCCAGTTGGAGGCTAGGGGGTGCCACCCTCAACCTGCCCCATTCCGGGCCTGGAGTCCCACATGGAGCTGATGTTGCTCCCAGGATGCAGCTGCCTAGATTGAGACGTCTGGGGTTTGGGTGTGGGGTCCTTGGGGTGTGGGCCGCGCTCCCTTCATGCTGCTCTCCTCTGCAGGTTCGAGTGTGGCCACTGCCAGTGGGGCTGGGGCTCAGCCCACGTGCACATCCTCTTCCACCTGTGGTGGAACGAGGGCCGGCACCTGGGTCTAGTGAAGATGCGCATCTGGGGCCAGCGCTGCCGCGTGTGTCCTCCTGAGGACGCGGGGCCCTGCCGGGTGAGCCTGCTCAATGTCCGGCTCTTCCTGGGCAAGCTGGTGCTGTACATCCTGCACAAGTGCTACGGGGAGGGCCCTGACGCCCAGTACCCCGAGGTCGGCTTCGGGGAGCACTGTGAGGCCTGTGACAAGGGTGTCTGCTTCTTCCTGAAGCCCCGGGACCCCGACTGGGGGCCGGAGGCCAAGCCACGCTCTGTGCAAGGCACGTACAAGCTGTTCAGTGATGAAAACGGCTGGGACAGGCCCGGCCACCAGCAGCTGCTGGCCCTTGGCAGTGGGACACTGGTGGAGCGCATCTGGGGCGACCCGCCCAACACCATCCCACTCCCCTTCTCGGTGGCCGACTTCATCAGGAGCCCACTGGTCAACTGCAACAACTTCATCAACGATGACGACATCGTCACAGTCCCCTTCTCCCTGGAAGGGGTGGGCAGTGTCGGGGGGCCTTTTGCCTGTGCCCTCCCAGAGGGCAGCACCCTGGGCAAAGGCTCCATCTACCTGCCCAACGCCATGCAGCTGGGGAAAAGCCAGCACATCGCCGTGACCATCTGTGAGCCTGTGTTCCGGGGCCGTGGCATCCTGTTCAACAGCCGGGCCCGCAACTTCAAGGGCTTCATTTTCAAAGGTCACGGCGCTCTCACCAGCTCTGATGGGACCGACAGTGGTCAGGGCCAGGCCAGGAGGCAACCACAGGGGATGTCCTACATTGTGGGGTTCATGGACAGTGGGGAGGGCTCCGTCACCTTCCCCCTGTCCTTGGCCACCCTCGTCACGGGCAAAGACCCTTTCACCTACAACGATGGCTCCGTCACCTTCCCCTTTATCTACACGGACGACGCCTACAGCAAAGACACCCTTGAGGACCGAGCCAGGGGCAGGGGTGGGCGCAGGCGCCGGGGGGGCAGGGGGCGTGGGCCCCAGCCGGGTCCAGAGCAGAACGGTGAGCTCCCGGGGGCCTTGAACAAGGGCTCCGTCTCCCTACCGTTCTCCATCTTCACCCTCATCAAGCGCACGGGGCCGCAGAGCAGCCGCCTCTTCTACCGCTACTACCGCCGCCAGCATCAGCGGAGGAGTCGGGGTGGCTCCTGGGGCTGGGATCACCCCCACACCGACGACTACTGCTGCCTGGCTGGCTGCTGCGAGCCGACCTCTGAGTCCAATGACGACTTCTGGATCTGTGTCTCCACCATCTTCTTCATCCTTTGGGTCATCTACCTGCACAAGACCAGCCCTGACCGCTACCTGGACGTGTGACTGGCCAGGCTCACTGCACAGTGCCCCTGGCCACAGCAGGCCACCCTCCCCCAGCCCCAGGCAATTCTGTCCCCCATAGAGACCCATACCGCCCCCGCCCCTAACCAAGGCCCATCCCCTGGCTCTTGTGGTGGTCTCCCTTGCTTCTCTGTCCATAGGCAATGACGTGAGGTCCTCTGCTGTGCGTCCAGCTGTGCATGTTCCTGCTTCTCTGTAGGTTCCAAAGGTCAATAAAGTGGTCACTATGTGAATTTGTATCCTGGACTGGGAATGTCCTACGTGGGGGCAAGGGGCAGGGGAAGTTGGGCAATAAGGTGCTCCCATTCCACTGGTAATCTTCACTGACAGGACACCCCGCTGGAGGGGAGGGGAGCCCCCGAGTGGCAGAGACCCCAAGACTAATCGGGATGTCTGAGGTCTGGGTCTGAGCTGAGAGTCTCTCTGAGATGAGGGGTTTGGCAATCTCCATCAGTGGAAATGGTGATGGACAGAACCCTTTTTACAGAGCACTCTGCAGTTGGGCCAGAAGTGTCCAGAAGTGTCCATCCTCAGGCTGTCCAGATCCCTGGGGAGTGTGGGAGGGCCTGGCGATGCTGAAAGAAGCGGCTGGGAGAAGTCAGTTTCTAAGTCCCACCCCACGCATGCCTCAGGCATGGACACAGGCAGCATCTAGAAGGCCCACCCGGTTTGCTCCAAGCCTGCTTGAACACACATTCTAGCGGGGTTTGGAGACATCGGCTGGGTTCCCCTCATCCATCTGGTGTCCACACAGGGAGACCTCATTCATGCTGGGACCCTCCTTCACAGTGTCTCATCTACACAGGGAGAATGCTCCTTCCTACATTGGGTCTCTGTCCTGTGGGCATCCTGCCATGGTGGTTCCTAGTAAGTTGACGAGTGAGGCCTGGCAGGAGGCGGGGGCAGCTGGGGATGACCCTGTCTCCCACAGCTGCATCCTGCAAGGGGGTCCCCAAGGTCAGGGCTCCTACAAGGGAGTTGTCAAGGTCAGGGCTCCCTCTCAGAAGTGTTGTTGGCTAGTGACTGTTCTCTTGGGATCATCTCCATGTCCTCACTGAGGGGGACCCTGTGTCCACTCCCCCATTCTCACTGATGGTTTCTGCTTCCCTGGTCACCATCTTGGGCCACTCGGAGCATCCCCTGGGTCCTTGCCAGTGCTGCTCTGCGTGCTCTGTCTGACTGCCTGGCACCAAGAAAGCCAGAGAGCCAACCTCTCTAGGCACCAGACAGGCCCATCTGGGGACTGGGCTTGGCAGGAGGGCAGGCTACCACCAGCCAGAGCTCTGGGGGTTTCTGGCAGCTAGAGGGGTCCATGCAGCCCAAAGCTGCTACCCAGAGTCCACCTGACAGTGTGTGGCCTCTGCCTGTGCACTGGACCACTTCCACAGTGGTCTGTCTAGATACCCCCTGTGGCCCACACATTCAAGGTCAGCACATATAGGCACTCCAAGACTAGCCAGAGAGAGGGGGCAAGAGAGCCTGGGGGCACAGAACAGGGCAGTGCCCCATCTGGAGGTCCTCCTTTGTTGGGGTCCCCAGCAGGCACCCCCTTTCTCAGTGGACCCCACTTAGTGCTATGGGCTATGAGTCAAGTGGGGTCATGGGGGTATCTGAGCCTCTGCAGCCCTTGGAAGTCCCAGGGATGACCTTGGCCACAGCAGCAAGAGGGCCACCAAGACCAGCAACACTGAGGGCTGGGGGCATGTCTCCATCTCCAGATTGGGTCCCGACCTGGTGCCTCAGCCCTCACCTTGCCTGGGAACTGAGGACCGGGAAGCGGGGGCCACATCCACCCTCCCACCAACCCACCAACCTCCCAGTCCCCCAACCTCCCTGACCCCCACAATGCTCCTCTCCCCGAATCTCACACAGGCCCCCTCCCCCTGACAACTCGTATGTGTCCCTGCAGTCACTCCTTTCCCTGGCCCCATCCAGCCTGAGCTGTCCAGCGGTGCCCCCGTGTGGTCACTGGCAGAAAGGGTCAAGGTTGTTTGTGCTTAAAGAGGCGGCAGTGGTCGCTTTGGACCCCAGGGACCCAAGAAGATTGTGTTGAGACTCGAATGTGTCGAGTCCAACTGCAGATCTAAGAGAATGCTGCCATTAAGAGATGCAAGCATTTTGAACTGCGAGGCGGTAAAAAGAGAAAGCGGCAAGCGATTCAGTTCTAAGCGCCATCTTCTATTATGAGAACAGAAATCCTGGGCTGTGTTAGACTGACGGAACAATCCGTGTTTTAGGAGGGAAATTAAGTAGTGTCATGAATAAACTCCCTGAGAGGGAAAAAACGAGCGTTATCCCCTCCTCACCCTGTCCTTGACTCTCTTTCCTGTTCCTGTCCTGTTGCAGATCCACGGCCCTCCCTACACCACACAGACTCACAAACACACATCTGTACACACTGCATGTGTCACATGCCTAATGTGCATAGACAGGAACATACCACACACAGACCCACATTCACACATGCCTACACACAACACACCTGCACACATATGGGAAAGCAATGTACACACCACACACATGTTGACACCGCAGCATGCACACATGTGCAGGTATACATGCACACCCCACATATTCGCCCACATTTGCACACACACCTGCACACAGATGGGAAAGCAACGCACATACCGCTTACGTGTAGATACTACAAAATGCACATACATGCATGTATACATACATGCACATGGCACATGCAGATATGGCCCCACACATGCACACATAGTGGCATACCATGACCACACATGAATGCACACACGCACATGGGTGTCAGGACTTGTTGGCATGCTGCTAATCCCACGGTGGTCAGAGGCACTTTCATTTCTGCAATTTTTAATTTGGTCTTTGAAAAGAGAAGCTGGTTTCCTTTTTCTTTGTTGAGTTACATGAAAGCTACTTAGTCAACGGTCTCTGCAACAGCCCCCCTCCCCCCCCCCCACGGCCTCAGAGCCAGACTCTGCTTCTGAGGAGCTCCCGATGGCCAACCTCATTCTGTGGTCTCCTGTGTAGGAAGGTCTTCAGTGCTGATAATCACACGATTTGTAAGACCTTGGGTTTAAGATGGTGGAGGCAGAATATGTGGGACTGGGGCTTTCCTCAGGCTGGATCTCTGTGGAATGTGTGTGTTTTTCCCCTATGCAGACAGTAGCTATAAGTGTGTTGCTTCTGAGTGGCACTTGCCTGAAAATCATCTTACTCAGATTTGATTCTCTTTGGTTCCTTCTTTTTCCATAGTGACCGTTGTGGTCTAGGAAATGGTTGCTCTGGCTCTTTCTATTGTTCTTTTAATAGTTATTCTGAGGCCCCCACACACATCCTAAATAGCAAGCTAATCACAAATGGCATGGTAAACTCATGCCACTTTGGTCTTTCTGCTAATGCTGGATGGTTAAGAGGACCAGCACATTCATTTGGTGTGAGAGGGCCTCACAGTCTGTGTGAGGGACACATGGTGTGTAGAGTCATGTTTCTGGTCTGGAGGGGGACATGGCACATGGAGTTGCATCCCATGGGTGAGGAGAACGAGGTACATGGAGTCATATCTTGAGAAGGATGTGGTACATGGAGTCGCATCTGGTGTGTGAGGGAGATTGGTACATAGAGTCATGTCCCATGTGTGAGAAGGATGTAGTACATAGAATCTCATCGTGTGTTTGAGGGGGACATGGTACATGAAGTTTTGTCTCATGTGTGAGAAGTACTTGGGACATGGAATCATGTCCCATGTATGAGGGGGGAGGTTGCACATGGAATCACATCCCTGGAGTGAGGGGAACATGGTACATGGAGTCATGTCCCATGTGTGAGAAGTATATGGTACATGGAGTTGTTGCTCTGGCTGTGTCTACTGTTCTTTTAATAGTTCTGTGTGAGAAAGATGTGGTACTTGGAGTCAAATCCCGTGTGTGAGGGGGATGAGATATGTGGAGTCATGTCCTATGTATAAGAATGATGTGATACAAAGAGTCACATCCCTGAAGTGAGGGGGATGTGGTACATGGAGTCAAATCCCATGTGTGAGAATGATGTGGTACATGGAGTTGTGTTCTGAGTGTGAGAAGGATGCAGTATATGGAGTCATGTCCCATGCGTGAAGGGGACATGGTACATGGAGTTGTGTCCTATTTGTGAGAAAGATGTGGCACATGGAGCTGCACCCTCTGTGTGAGAGGGATGTGGTACATGTAGTCACATCCCATGTGTTATAAGGATGTAGTACATGGAGTTGTGTCCTGTGCGTGAGGGGGATGTGGTACATGGAGTCACATTGCATGTGTGAGAAGGATATGGTATATGCAGTCGGGTCCTATGTGTGAGGGGGACGTGGCACATGGAGTCACATCCTGTGTGTTATAAGGATATAATACACAGAGTTGTGTCCCATGTGTGAAGGGGATGTGGTACATGAAGTTGCATCCTGCATGTGAAGAGGACATACCACATCAAGTTGTGTCCTATGTATGATGGGGAGGAAGAGTTGCGTTGCTGGTGTAAGGGGGTCGTGGTGTGTGGAGTCACACTCCAGGTGTGAGGGGGTCATTATCTAGTCACACAGAGAATCTGAAATAGCTTGGCTTTAGCAGATGTGATGAAGCCCTGAGGAAGTGTCCACATCAAGGCTTCCAGGTGTGTGTGGAGGCCAATCTCCGAGGATCTCACAAGCTTAATGAAGCCATAGTCCATCTGTCCCTATGTCCATAGCGTCCTGACATCTGACCCTTGGGCTCTGGTCCATGGTGGGTGTATTTACTCCCTTAGCTTGTGGTCTGCTTGTCCCCTTGCTCTCCCTTAAAACACTGGAATGAGTTTATGTCCCTCATCAAGCCTGAAAGATGGGATGGGGTTGTTCTGAGTCTGCCCAGGATGGGGGTCGGGAAGCCCGTTCCTGCCTTCCTTCTGCTTTCTCAGCTGTAAATCCCTTACGTCCCTGCCCCTGCTCTATGGGCACAGAAGGGGCTTCACGCTCGGCTGTCTTTCTCCCCATCTGGGTGTCTCCCTAAACCAGTTAGTTTCATCACCTCCTTTAAACCTAGAGGTCAGGGCAAGTTGACTGGTTGGTTTCATCAAGAGATCCAGGAAAAACAGCACCAGCAGATGGAGGTGAAGGCATTGTGGCTATGCCGGAGGGCGGGTTGGGCATGTCCCTGGACTGGGTACTGCGGGCTCAGTGGTCACACAGGAGTTCCCTGGAGAATGGGACGTCAGCTCGTGGAATTTTGCTGCATTTGTGGCTTTC